ATCATAAATATTAGGAAGAACATAGGAAGCATCGTAACAATCATATTTAATATTAAAAATACCCTAGACATGATACTAGGAATATCAAAATAACAATGTAAACATGATTTCTACATCATAATATCAATAAATCAATTAAAGTACTTACTTTGATGCCTCGTACCTCTTTCTAATAACAAAATACACACGTTAGTAACTTCAAGGAAAATAATAATCAAAACAATTAAATTAAATAATTGAAAGAGAGATTTGGGAACAAACCCTCAGAAATTAAAACCTTTCACGTCTAGGGCGAAGGCAACTTCGAATATAGCTAGGTGTTTCTAGATCTTGTGAATGCGGAATTTTATATGAAAAAGCAAAGTTAAAGAGGAGATGAATAATAGAGAGATGAATCAAAGAATGCTAATGAATGAATGATGAATCTTAATGAATGAAAACTGATTGTAGGTGAATAACTTGCGAATGAAGAGAATTGGTGAATGAAAACGGAGTTTTTAATACGATATTTATAGAGAAAATCAGCCAAAAAAGATAAATTAACAAAACAGAGTCTGACGCTCAGGAAACAGAGCTGGCGCCAACCCTGGCTAGCTGGCGCCAGGCGCCAATGGCTAGCGCCAGGCGCCAAGGCCTGGGGTTGGACGCCAAGCTTGATTTCAACGCGTTTTCGAAAATCCGATAAGTTTACCGTACTGGAGGATAAAATAATATAATTTCTTCGAAAATGCTATTTGATCTTGATTAAAACTCTGAAAAGTCAACAAAGTCAACTTATCAATGCTAATTGAATTAGGAATGAAAAGAACCTTCTAGAAGAATCTAGAAGACTAAAACCATTCCTAATTGCATTAGGAATGATAAATCATACTAGGCCCTCCCCTAGATCATTGGGCCGCATATAAAGCTCAAACCGGGCCCAGTTTGGTAAATTGGCCATAATTTCCTCAATATTCATCGGAATTGGGCTTATAATATATCGTTGGAAAGGTCTTTACAAGCCCCATCCAACTACACTACTATTGGACCCATATCATGGACCAACCAAACTGGATTGGCTGTTTTCTTAAAATAAGTTTTCAAAAACAGAGAGAAGAGAAAAGAAATTAAAACTTTCCGCAACACTAGACCTTTCCACACTTTCGTTTCATTCGATTATGATTCGATGTGAAAGGTACTCATCACTGGGTTTGGTTTTGGGGAGACACAAATGGGTGTCTACAGCTTAGAACACACACTTCAACCAATCACCCTGCCCTGACAGACAATCACAAAATTGCTAGATTGAAGTGGGTTCTAAGCTTTGTGAACCCTATTCCAGATGTAGGGGACCCAACATTTAGAGACATGGAGTACACAATCCACATAGATGAGAAATGGTTCTACTTGAACCTAGAAACCAGAACCTTTTATCTGCTACCAAATGAACAAGATCCATACAGAGCACAACAATCTAAGAGATTTAAACTTAAGGCTATGTTCATGGGTATTGTAGGAAAACTACTGTATGATAACAACAAGAACCTTTTGCATGATGGGAAGTATGGGTTGTTCCCTTTTGTCAAGTATGAAATAACAAAGAAAAAAGCAAGAATATAGACAAGGGAACACTAGAAACAAAGGCAGTCTAGTGTGTTAACAAGGATGCTATAAGGGACATGCTCCTCAATCATGTTATTCCAATTATACATGAGAAATGCCCCCCCCCCCAATTACCAAAGGATATCATCATCCAATGGGACAATGCTAGGCCACATCAAGTACCTAAAGATGCAGAATTTAAAGCAGCATGTGAAGCATATGGGTTCAATATCCAGTTTGTGTATCAACCAGCACAAAGTCCAGACTTAAACGTGTTAGATTTAGGCTTGTTTAAGGTGATACAGTCAATTCAATATCAATCATTCCCCACAAACATTGATGAATTACTTCAAAAAGTGAAAGAAGCATGAGAGGAATTTGATCCAACAGTGAACAAGTATACATGGATTACCCTACAGTCTGTCATGCTTGAAATTCTAGCAAGGAAGGGTAACAACAACTTATCCCCCCACACATGAAAAAAAGACACTTGGACAGGCTAGCCTACTTCCAGACTTGCTACAGGTAGACAAGGAGCTTTTGAACACAGTGGTACAGTATTTGGACACAATAGAAGTGGAAACAACAAATAGCAACCATCATGAAGAAGCCAACATAGAGGTGGATGCAGACTAAGCTAGGAAAACTTGGAACAATGAAGATGCTTTTGGGACTCATAGACTGCCACACATAACCATAGTACCCTAAACTCTTTTTTTGTTTTAGTTTAAGTGTTGGTTATGTGTATTTTGGTAAATACTTAGTCCTTATTTATAGGCAGTCATGTATTAGGGCTCAAAAGACTATTGTCCTAACTTTTGTAAGTAAAACAATTTTTTGAATGAATGAAAAAATTAATCAAGTCCATCAGACAGTGTTATTTGTCACTCAAAGCAATCTTGATAGTGGTTACCTCAACAACAACTTCAAAAAGAAGTCACTAGAGCATCCACACTGAATAATGAGCTATCAGTTAAGTCCCTTCATCATTTGGAGGTAAGTGTCAGTGATGCATTACATGTTTTGGGACTCAATGCATCTAAGGGGCCTATTTGGGGACTCCCATGCCAATACACATACATACACATATCAGGCAACAACAAGAACACCCAATAAAATCAACAGTCCACAGGTAGCCCATATAAACAACAATCCACCCTATATTAGTCTAGCCAATTAAGGTAAGAACCAACACAGCCAACTAAGGTAAAAACCAACATGGCCAACAAAGCCAACAAAGGTAAGAACCAAAATAGCCAACACAACCAAGTAAAGTATCAACCAACAAAGCCAACACAGCCAACTAAGGTGAGAATCAACACAGGCAACAACAACAGGAATTACCATCACATCATCAATCCAACAAACAGAGGGTAATACACCAAACCAACACAACGGACACAACATACAAAGGAGAAGTGTCCTGTGAACAGCTTAATCAAATGAAACATGATTATAACAAATGAACTCCAAAATCTAATCACATCCCAAAAAAGGACTCAAACAACATATATAGCCAATTATCACCCAGCAATTCAGCCACTTATCAAACTCAGACAAATGAATATCTGCAAATAACTTGAATTTAGGGTTTAAGAGATTAAGCTGCACAATTAGTTATGGGGATTGGAGTACTGGGGATAGTAGATCTGGTGATAAGTCGTGTACACGTCATCCGGCTCCAAACCAGCAGGGAGCCCAAACCTTATGCACTTTTCACCGAAACTAGGCCCAGCATCTATCACAGTCATCATGGGGTAGGACTCAAGTGGCCAGTGAACCTCCTCAGCAGTCAATTCAACGGGTTCAGACTCCCCAGTCTCAAATCCGGTGTCTGGAACCCCACCATCAGGTACAACGGCAACAGAAACATCATCTCCGGCAGGTTTTTCAACAGGAAGAACGACGGCGATAGGTTTTGGGTCCAGATCTTCAACGGTGGAAAGTGGAGCGGGCCTTTTAGATCTAGAAGCAGCCACTGGTTTCTCCTTCTCGTCGCTGGAGAACTCAGCCAATTTAGCACCGATGATCCTCCTACGCGCAATTATGGAAGCGCGACGTAGTGGTTTCATCACACCAGTACCCCGACGGGGGATGTAGGTCGTAGCAAAAGAAGGATGAGGATTCGACCTTTTAGTAGCAACAGAAAGGGACTCGTACCCCATCAAATATGGATTTACATCATCTGAGGAAGCCAGTTTTAGTGAGAGGCTGATACAGAGAGAGAAGAATACAAAGAAATGAGGAGAGAGAAAGGTGAAAACCCAGTAGAAGTAGAGAGAGAGAGAGCGTTGGGAGAGAGAAAGAGAGAGAGAGATTGGGGGTATATGAAGAACTAGGGTTGAGTGTGAGTTCTGGAAGTTTCAAATCCAGAATTTAATTCATCCAACCACATTCATCTTCAATTGAATGGTGATTAATTGAATGAAGGTAGTTGGGAAATTGTAATTTTTAAAAAAATTTGGGTAAATATGGTGGGAATGGTTAAGAAAACTAAAGTTAGGTTAATTCTCCTAAATTTAGATTAAGAGTAATAAGATGGAGTTATAAAAAAAAAAAGTAAGGGTAAATAAGTCAATTTGTAGGAAAAACCCTACTAAAAAGGAAAAAAAAAAAGAAGTTGTTGCAAGTAATGTGAAGCACCCATTTAATGAAAGCAAGTGTTGCAAGTAATCCAAAGCGGAGGGAGTACTATAATTTATGTTATATGGATAAAATGTTTATCAAATGTTGATTTTTGTAGGAAATTACGAGGTTGTGTTCATTTTAATTCAATAAGAATAATATAAGTTTAGCAAAATAAAATAAGATGAAAATAGCAGGGCCTAAATATTTAGAATTTATTTTTATTGCTAGGTTTTGGACCTATTCACTTCAGCTTAATTTTAGTTCACTTCAGCTCCAATCAGTTCAGTTCGACTCCAATAAGCTAGTTCAGTTCAGTTCAGTTAGTTTAGTTCAGCTCCAATCAGTTCATTTCACTTCAGTTCAGCTTCATTCAGTTCAGTTCAGTTCAGCTTAGTTCAATAAATGTGAACATGCCTTTTGTCGTTTAGAAGATCATGTTATGGAAATGGGTGAGCAAAAACTATTGGAATACAAATTGCATATTATATTTTAGCCATAAATTTCATTTATTTTTTGCAAAATGGGATGCATGCAAGTGCTCCCCTTAGAAGCCAAATACATCCGCCTGTGGTTAAAACCGTGCATTACACGGGACTAACCTAGTAATATATTAATAAATATGTAAGAATTTAAAAGCAAGTTCGAGATAGAAGAAATTTAATTTTAATTTTAAAATCAAATTGAAAAATATTATATTTAATTTTTGACCATTATGATTTATGAACTACAACATTACTATTAGTAAAAAGAAAATATTAATAAACTGAAAATATATAAATTCAATACTCCGTAGTTATATACTTTTATAATCTCCGAGCTAAAGTGCATTAGCAAGGATACAAACTAATTATTGTTAAATTATTTGTTGGTAAACATAAAAATAGAAAGTGTTGCAAGACTTACCATTAAACAATGTAATAGGAAATACATACGTTCAAATTCAACTTGAATTTACAGAAAAGAGTACATGTAAAAATTTAATACAATATCATGATTTATTGATGATGCACGAAAGCACTCAAGTGACATGCATAATACATACAGTACTTCGTATTTAAATTGAGTGCATGCATACAATATTATCCATATAGCCAAGATTTTAACTTTGAAAGGTATCCATTTCATACCACCCGCACCACCGCCTCATTAGTCGTGACCGGATCCCATATTAGTTTCTAGAACTAGGGACTGGACCAGGCCTAGACCCTGATCCAGACCCGGACCCTGATCCAGACCCGGACCCTGATCCGACCCTGCCCGATCCAGAACCAGACCCTGATCCAGATCCTGACCCAGAGCCAGAGCCAGACCCGGACCCTGACCCAGCACCAGGTGAATATTTGGATTCACTAGGGGATTGGGCTGAACCATAACCGTATCCGAAACCACTGGTAGGCCCGGATGTCCAGCCCCACCCGTAAGACCAGTTCTGGCCATGACCCGAGCCCGTGGCGCCAGTTGTTGTCTCCTCATTGAGTTGAGTGTCAGCTGCTTCTGCTGAAGGTGAGGGTGAGGAGGGTGGTAATGATATTATTATCGCTATTTTCTCCATTTTCTGTCCTTTGCTTTCGCCGAAGGCGGCATTATGGCGAGCTAGAGATGGGGTAAGTAGCAGGTTGAGCATGAGAAAGATGAATACAAGGGTTTTAAGATGATACATTTTGAATGATTGTTTGAGTTGAGGGTTGTTTTGTTGATAAAATATGCACTTAAACTAGTGTAAAGCTATCTCTATATATAGTAAGGAGATTTAGTGGTAAGGGCTGATATTTTTTGCTAAATAGGGAAAGGGGAGATATTATCACAAAACATTCTTCAATTTTATTTTAGGAAAATTTGCAAATTACCACCCAAAAATAGTATCAATTTCTAAATAACCACCCATTTAAAATTTTATTTTAAATTACCACCCACTAAAATATTTTTTATGCAGATTACCACCTTTTTTTCAAAATCCAGTGGAATTCAGATGAGTGGGGCCCTCCATCCTAACGGCTAGTTTCTCATTCCCAATTGAATTTCCCCCCGATTTTCCCCCTATATAACATTTCTCCTAACCTAATTTGCGATTTGGACTTCAAATTTTCCCCAAATTCCTCAAATTTCAGCCCCTTATAATTGCTGTAACATCTTGAAGAAACCTCGGAGGTGAATTCGCATCAGATAACCTATTACATTCTTTAAATTTAAGGTTCTAATTGTGCTGAAATTGGGAAAAACTTGCTAAAATTGGGGAAAACTTGTTGATTAATTGCTAACCTCTGGCGTCGCCATCGACAGCAAGCAATTGTCAGGTGAATGAACTCAGCACATGGTCCCCAGCAGACGCCCTAACAATGGTGATTTTCGCAAACAACCTTCAAGCTAAACCCCAATTACATAGGAGCAAATTTTTCTCTCAACTTAAACTAATTTAGGGTTTTAATCTGCAATTTAGGATCTAAATTTGAAGAGTGGGTGAGAATTAATGGAGTTAGGTGAATTTGTAGAGAGAATTGACTGAGAGAATTGAGAGAGGAGTAGCTTACAATAGTGAAATCGACAGAAAATAAAAAAAATTTAGGAGGGAAATAACGACTGTGGGCTCCACACACCTGAAATCAACCGGAAATTTAAAAAGGGTGGTAATCTGCGTAATTAAATATTTTAGTGGGTGGTAATTTAAAAAAAAAAAAATTAATGCGTGGTTATTTAGAAAATGGAACTATTTTTGGGTGGTAATTTGCAAATTTTCCTTTATTTTATTTTAATAAATGCTCCATTTTTTCGGCCTAGGAACATATGTCAATGTAAATATTTGACCAATAAATTTTTTAATTATCAATAAGTATAAATTATAATAATTGAAAGTTAATAATTTATTCGTTGAGGCGGTTTCAACAAGTACCCACAAGATTATATATATATATATATATATATATATATATATATATATATATATATATATATATATATATATATTTGGGGTTTTCTATACAGTGCCCCTGAGATATTGACTTTTCCAAGTTGTGCCCACACATTTTAAAAATTTCACACTGTACCCCAAGGTACCTTTAGTGTCTACGATGTAACCCTACCGTTAAATTGACGTTAACTATTGCCTTTAGTTTATATGTTTCACCACCAAAACTCAGCCCTCACGACCCACCACCCTCCACCCACCACCCACCGACACACCCTAGGCCACCAGCGAGCCGAACCCCATCAGCGATCCCTACCATCACCCATCACAGCCCCACCACCACAAACCCACCACCACCTAGTGCACCACTAAAGAAAGTGTTAGAATGCAATGGAGGAATTTCATTCGAATTCTAATTGAAATTTCGACAAATTGGTTTAGGGCTTTTGTTTCATTGGATTCAAATTGCAAAATTAAGTTTGTAATTGTTATTTTCATTTTAAAATCAAATAACTTGGTTCAAAATAATAGAAACCCTAATTTTTCTCCCAAATTGATTTTAATTGTTAAATCATAAATTTGGGTTCAATTAGATTGAGATTAAATACACAAAACTTGTTTTAATTGATTTTTCCACTGAAAATTTGCACGAATATGGTTCAATTGGTCGAAAATTTGGGCATGAAGAACGAAAATATGGGCATAAAGCTAAGAACGGCAGTGAAGATTAGGGTCGAAGAATTGAGAGAGAAGGAGAGAGGAGGGCCGCGTGACGCAGGCGGTGATGGGTCGAGGAGAGAGGAGCGCAGCTCGGTGGTGCGGCGGGAGGTGCGGCGGTGGTGCGGCTGGAGGTGTAGTGGTGGGTAGTTGTGAGGGAGGAAAGAGAGGTGTTTGGGTTTTTTTTTTAATTTATTTATTTTGAAGTTAACATAAAGTTAACTTTAGTTAACGGAGGGATTAGGATAGGGTTACACCGTAGACACTAAAGTACATTGGGGGTACAACGTGGAATTTTAAAAATGGGTGGGCACAACTTGAAAAAGTCAATACCTCAAGAGCACTGTATTGAAAAACCCTATATTTTTTATGTATAAGTCTAGTCAAAGTAGTCTAAACAACTAATTAGTGCAAAAAGTGCTAATGGAGCGATTCTTAAAAAACGAAGGGAGTATTATTTTTGATTACTTTTCTTATAATAAACTGATCCTAAATTACTTACAACATTTCTATTAAAAATCTGAGTCTTAAAGTTTGTAATTATTTCTCTCACTTAACCACTTTATTTAGGAGTAGTAGTCTATAAAACTTTAAAGAATATGAAGCCAATTCAATTAAAAAAAATTTCATCAAACAAAATATCCTATAATAAACAATCACTTAATAAGATATCTGGTTTATCAAAATATTTAAAATAGTAAAATACTATACAGATTATAGTGTTGCGACTAATATGGAGATAGAGATTTTTCAAGTCTGTGGTGTATAAACTGTTTCAAATTTCCCTATGGACTATATTGCTATACGCATTTGTAATCTTGCATGGATGGGGTAGTAGCCTTTGTTTTTTTTTTTTTTTTTTTTATTAATTATTTCTTAAAATTCTTTATCTATGGTATAGTGTGATTATATTTATTGGATTATTAGGAAATTGAGGGTCCAATTTATGCACTATATATGTTAACATCCCTACCAAGAGTTTACGTGGCTTATGTCTTTTGAAAGAGAGTTTAGTTTTTTCTGAATTCCTACACATTATGACAAATTGACAATATTCGTAGCACCATCACCATGCTTGTGATAAGATATCATTTATACATTATAGAATTTGTCACATATGAAGTATGATAATTCCATAGTCTAGCATAATTTCGTTTTACATTTGAATGGGTTTTTATGTAACATTAGAGGATTTGCATTATTGAACTTACTGATTTACATGTACGTAGTATGACGGTCGTTTTTGTACAATGTTGCTTTTATATGGATTATTTGGTTTTTATGTTGTATGTGTTGGGGTAGTTCATCCCAAGTCTCACATGGAAGGTGTAAGGAGATGAAGAGCTCTTTATTAGTGAGTACACACTCCATTAGTATAAGGCCTTTTGGGAAGGTGCCAAAAAATAAATCCGTGCAGGTAAGGTCCGAAGCGGGCAATATTATACTAATATGGAGTGGAGTATGCGTGCGACTCATCAAGATGGGTGACCTGGGCCGAACAAGTGGTATCAGAGTCGATGGTTCGGCGAGACAGACACAGGTGTTATGTATGTGGGACGATTTCCTCAAATGTGTGACTTCGCGATTGTGGTGTCTTGCGTATATTATGAGCAACAAGGAAAATCAAATCTTATCTAGCTTAGGAAACTAATTATCTTTTCCTAAGATAAACTAGAAAATATATCTTGCATAATCAAATAATATATCATAAAGATATTATCATATCTTTCCTAATAATTTATTTATGATAAAAGGGTTGAAACTTAACATTATTTTATACCCATTAGACTGTGTCCTTTGCTTTATGACTCTAGGTTAATTTATAAAGCATTATCAAACTCTCTCTCTCTCTCTCTTTTTTTTTGGGAGATATCCTATTATTCTTCTTTAATAATTTATTGAAAAGATAATCAAGCAATTGGTTCCCTCAAAAAAAAAAAATCAAGCAGTTGGTTTTTTTTTCCCTTCTGAAGAAAAGATACAAGGAATCAGGGTTGTCTACTCTCGTTCTCTAAAAAAAAAGGGAAATTATCAATGGTACACCCAAGATTCGGGCTTTTATCAATGGTACACCAACTTAGTTTTTATTTATCAGCGGTACTGGTACAACCAAGGTTTAATACACTCATCTACAATAACCCAGTTTCATCATTCACTTTTGTTTTCGTTCTTAGTTCTTACCGTTACATGTCTTTTTTGTCCCAAAACATCAGGGTAATAATTGCTTCATTATTCCATATTTCCATGAAGCATGATTTAGTTCTTTTTTGCCATGTTTATCCCATCAATTCCCTCCCACCCCGCCCCCATTATCGTGCTCACTGCTCAGGGAAGATAAGAGTAGTGTGGAAAGACATAGATATTGTTCTTTACAATCTTGATTATCTGAACAATTATTCATGGGTAGCTAAGGGGAAACACAGGATGGTTGCTGTTGCAGTAAAACATGTGATGCAGGCTCCTCAAAATTTTCTAAACCAATTCCACCTCAAGTTTAGTTGACCTTCTACTTTTCAATTTCATACACCCTAGCTTGATATGCGAATTTTACAAACTTACAACAGTGAACATTCTTTAGAGCGCAGAATGGCACACCTTGGATGAGGGCCGATTAGAGAGCCTACCTATCAACGGAAAACCTCTGGATCCTAGTACCAATCTTCATACAGCTCCTGATGAGTACATTCTATATCGAATTCTCACAACAAATAGGTGAGCATCAAGCTCGACAAGCAGACAAGTAATGAAGCTGCTGAATAGCTGTCAGCATTACAAATGTATGGACATACGAGATTAATGCAAATGATGCTAAACAGACGGGGTGCTTCGACCTCTTTCATACCCATGTAAAAAAAGAGGACTATAAGTTACTAAATAACGTAGCAAAATCCAAAACAAAGTATACTATTGTTATCTTTAAAAAATAAAAAAAATAATCAAATATCAAGTATGCGTTTTAGCTTCACTACAGATTTTAGAATCTGTTTTCTTTTCACGAGTTTGCTCTGGAATCCATCTAGAGATTATTCGTGGTTCTATTTCATATTTCTCCAAACACACTGGAGAGTTGTCTTTACTAATGCCTAGGACATGTAACACTAGCAAAGTCTTAGCAACACCACCACACAGCCGAATTGTACCATACAAATCAGACCATAACTTCAGCCGTCCACTGGAGTTCTCATTTCTCTCTGATAGTACAAGAACAGCATATTCTGAATGGACCAAAGCTGGATGGTGGCGATAAGCAACATAATCAACACCGTATTGGGATCCCGACCTAACTACCCAATTGTTCATTCTTAGATGGGCATATGCTTTGAAATACTCCGGAAACATTTCAACTTTTGAAATCATGAATTGCCACAGGTCCTCAAAAGTTTTCACAACACCGTCGTCTCCCACAATCTTCAAACACTTCAATGCATAACATAAGTAAAAAGCTTCTTGTAAAGTAAATTCATACCAATGTTGATCATTTTGGCTGGTTACAATAACCCGGCCAAAACATGCACGGTTTAGAAGTTCAGATTGTTCTGTATTAGCTTCAAAAAGCACCCTACAACCAGATATAGATCCACTGCATTCTGATGTGGCTAGAGATGATTGAAGTGCTGAAACTATTCCCGACATTGGTTCAGCAAAAGCTTTTGCTTCTGCATCTTTCCCTTTCCACCGCGGACCCATTTCTTCTATTCAGAACAAGAATTCAGTCATGTGCATCCACAAATTCTAATGTCAGCTTGATGATCATAAACTTGAACTCACATCCATTTCAATCTAGCTGTAAATGGAAAGAAAAATATTGAGTAACTAACATGGTGGTCAGCAAGAGCATAATTTTTCACAATGACAAGCAGTAAGGCATTCAAGCAAAGCCAATGCATAACTGCATACTTTTTTTAACTAATTAAGATAAGAAAGAGGATCATTATCACAATTCATGCATCAAGTCAAACAATAGACGAGGGCCTCAATTGGTAACCCCCTCCCTAACAAATCCAAAGACAAAGATAAAGAAATTTTGGGTTATACTTCAGTTGTTCTACTATTTAGTAGGTAATTAACTAAAAGGCGTAGTTATTCATCATCTTAGCTTATGTTTCATAACTGCAGTATTGAAGAAACGAGGTATGCTAAGGATAAACTCTTCAGCAGTCAGACTATTGGCTAACAAACTACTCTTCAGCAAAACAGGTTCAAGCACACATTATGACTGCCAGGTCTATCCCTGTCCCTGATCCAGGAAGCAGGGCAGCTGCCCCGTTAGAAAAAATGTCCATTTCATATTTCCATTCTAATGTTAAGGTCGTAAACAAGAGCCTACAACACCTTGGCAATCAAATCTGACTCTATTATCAAAGTAGGCTCCAATAATCACATGAAGTGCACATAAAATCCTTCTCGCTTGATAACACCAATATAAATTGCACATAGCAATTTAGCAAAATAATAGCAACAAGATTGCTCATTACTTCAAGAACCCTAAATTGACTACTTTGACAATCACATGCAGATCCAAAATTATGTAAAAGAGGGGCAAGTACGCAGTAATTACAACCAATAGCTCAATAATTAACATACTAATTGATTCAAAAAAAATCCATAGTATAACTAATAATCTAATACAAAGGTTCGTCACAAGTTTACATATAACCAATTCATAATCTAATCAAGGGCTTACATTCATAAACAAGTCATTCTCTAAAAAAGTAATTAGAGTATCATATAACAACCCATCTCCCATGTCATTGGGACATATGCTTTTGATTTCGAGTTTCTAATATGATTTTTTACAAGTTTGATTAGAGCCAAATTTATACATAATCTAACTTAATTTTAATCAATTAACACCAAAAAAAAAGCATGCATAAACTTTAAAATCCAATAATACAGCAATTAGAGCAATCAATTCAATCATATTCACATACAACAAATTTGGATGCGAAACTAATCTTAATTAATCAAATTCAAGCCTAAGGCCTAACCCAAAGGGAGAACATTGAATATCAACAAATTAATAAATCAGCATGTTATTCCTATATCAATTGAGTATTTAAATAAATTAAAATTTTAACCCCTGTAATACTATAATAATTAATAGATTAACCAACAAATAACCTTTCATACCATCAATTAATCATCTGACGCAATACAAATTGATTTGGGATTGTATGAAACTAAACCCTAGATTATAAAAATTAAATTCGATGATTTTAAAAAGAAAATGAATCATACCTGAGAAGGTGGTTCAATGGAGATTTTTGAGGATGCTTCAATGGAGAGGAGAGAACAAGAGTAAAAGGGTGAATCAAAAAGTGAAAAGCTTGAAGCCTGAATGGAGCAGTATTACACTGTTACTGTAAATCTGTAATGCCTTCATGAGTTAACAGAGTAATCTCGCCCCCTTTTATTTTTTATTTTTATTTTATTTTTTTTAATTTTTTATTTTTACAACTAATCTCGTGCTTCTACATGATGGTTTTTTAACAATCTTGTTAATGAGCGTCTTGAGATGGAAAAGCATTGGCGTATAGAGTCTATGTGCCAATAAAACAAATAGACCCTAGTAAAATTTAACATTGACTCCTCATGAATATTTTAAAACGGTATTCCGTACTAGTATTACTTTGAAAATGCATATTAAATTTATGTGTAAATCAGTGTAATTACCGTTTATACCTCTTTATAGTTATATGATTCCAAGATTTTGGAATGATCGTTAGCCTTTTTTTTTTTTTTTGATCAAATCACCTTTGTATGATTGTATTGTCTTCCTTCTCATATGTTTTATAGTTTGTTTTGTCTAAAGTATGCCCACATGACTACATGAGCCATGAGCTGACCATGAACATATCTAATTTGATCAGAGAAGAACATTGACTTCACTTATGAATTGGAAGAACATTGACTCCTCACCAATATTTTTATGAATTGGAAGAATGTTTATCACTCTTATGAATTGGATATGAATTTGAAATTAATTTCGAGACAAATTTGGGAGATAAGAATTGAACATTGATGGGTTGTACTTAATTAAAAAAAAAAACAGCCAACCCGATAAATTCGGTTTATGATAGTGTTTTTGAGTCCAAAATTTAGTCCTAACCTAACTCGGTTCATGATCACCTATTCACCTTTAGTTGAACTTGACATTGTGATGTGTCACATTAGGTTAAATATTGGGCTTGACTCAATCACGGATGTACGATTATCCCTAACTAAATGCATATTTGGGCCTAAGATATAACCTTTATAAGGTACCTAGTCCTAATTTTGTGTTTGAATAGAACCTTTATAAGAACGGACAGACTAAAGTCGTATCACCCAATATCACTCAATCAAAAGTAATTCCTAAAACTACTAACTAAAATAGATAGGGAAACAATGTTCTTTTATTTCTTATAAATTATTATAATCTAAACTATCAAATGACCAAATTATTTTTATGAGAATTAAACTAAGGAAAATAAATAAACTAAAGCAAATTAAACTAGGGAGAATAAAAGTAGGGAGAAATCAATAAATAAAAGCTTAGGGTATAGGTTCACCAATAATTAATACTCCCGGATAAAACATAACAACCAATTGTCAATGCATAAATTAACTAGATTATAAAGGGCTTTCACTACGTATTATAATTACAGTATTAATCTACCGGTATTAATTAAATTGCATCTCTTGAATCTTGACTTAACCATTTATAAATTAATCTGTTTATTGAAACTAAGCCTAAACATCGATTCTCATCTCTCGAATCTCGAATCAATATTGCATAACTCATACAATTAAACCTGCGAAAATCTAATTGCATAGCATTATAATAATCAATAGGAAATTAACTCACAACATTAACAATCAACCGTAATAATTTATTCTTTCATATTAACTATGGATCCCCAAGAACCTTAGAGTTAAACTACTCGCACATAATTAAAATTAAACTAATGAAAGCAATTAAAGAAAGCATGATTAAAAAAAAAAAAAAAACAACAACAACAACAACAATAATAATAATAGGGTAAAAGGCAATAGTAATGAAAACTAGAGAATAGTAATTGGAGAAGAAGTAGAATAAAAATATAAAACAAAACAATGCATATTTCTTGCAGGCGGATGCACAATCTGCATGGTGCATCCCCTTTTTTTTTTAAAAAAAAAACGATAAGAACATTGTATAGAAATGTAAAGAACATTTACTTAAAGTAAAAAGAACATGTTATAGATTTGTAAATAACATTGTATAGAAATGTAAAGAACATTCACTTAAAGTGAAAAGTAAATGTTATAGAATGTTGAATAATGTTCTTTATCTTCATGTTTTTTTATTGTTAGTATAATGTACTTTTATTTGTGACATAATGTTAATTGTTTATTTTGAAATATTCTTTGAATTTTGTCTATATATTGTAGTGATTGAAAAAAAATAATGTTCATTACATTAAATTATCATTATAGGTGATAAAATTCGGGTCGGGACGAGCCTAAACATAATATCTCGTGCCCAAACCCGGAAAATATAGCGGGTTATTCGGGCTTCTTTGGGTCGGGTTTGGATTTTTAACTAAAAATGCATTTTTAGGCTTGCCCAAATCCATCTTATTTTCGAGCCGGGCTGAAGTTGACCACCTCTAATTATCACGTTCTTTATTAGTATTACAGATGTTCTTTAGATATATATAAAGAGCATAAAGTTTGATTTTTTTTTTTTTTTTTTACAAAAGAACTATATGTTCTTTACAAAAAACTATATGTTCATTACAATACAAATATATGTGATGCTCTTTATAAAACAGCTAGATGTTCTTTATAAAATAAATGTATGTTCTTTAATGAACAACTAAATGTTCATTCCGCCTTTTTTAAAAAAAATGAATACACGGAGCATTGTGCATCCGCCTCCAAAGTATTTAAAAGTATATAAATCTGATAACAAAACTAAGCGTAAAACAAAACTAAAACTAAAACTAATAATACGAAAACTATCTAATCTAAAAGCTAATATAAGAATATTGCCTAACACCTACGTACTACTACTATACCCTTTTTATAAGGATTATGAATCTTTTAAAAGTCAACTAACATTAAGAATCCTAGTTGAACTCAAATTAGTGAAAAAGCTGCCAAAAGAAATCTAGTAAACGAAATCCCACAATCAGCCCAACAATGACGCGTTTCCACGGCCCAGATGACGCTCACCCAATTGAGCCCGACAAAATCACGCCCAGCAGCTCCACGGATCTTCCATTTTCTTTGAGCCCAATACTTAACTTAATTGATTCATGTACTAACTTGTAATAACTTGGACTTCTTCATCAATCGAGCCCTTAATCACCAAACTAAACTCCTTTGACTAGTCTTGGGCAATTAAACTAAGGTCATAAAATACGATCAAACTCCAATATCTTCATAGTAGCTTAATAAGTTTGGGAATTATCAATAAACCTGCAAATTCCTTCAAAATAGTATCAACTCTACAAAAACACTAGATTACGTATATTAGTAATGAAAATAAATCCGCAGAGCTCAAATAAGCACAAATATGACCGTGAGACAGAGAATAAAATACATACTCCCTCCATTTTTTTTTAATATGCATCACTTGGTGATGCGCGGAGTTTTAGAAGGGTAATATAATATTATGAGTGGATGAATAATTTATTATAGTATAAGTAAGATGTGGACCATAAAAGAGAAAGAATGTGAGGGAGAGTAAATATTTTTATTATATAAGTGGGGACCATAGAGGAGAGAGAAATGATAAAATAATTTAAGTGGGGTTTAAAGTAAGAGAGAGAAATGATAAAATATAGTATAAAGTTTCCAAATAAGGAAGTGATGCATTTAAAAAAAACACCCATAAAAGGGAAGTGATGCATATAGAAAAACAGAGGGAGTATAAAATAGACTTGGGTTTAAGCTAGAATCTTTTCGGGCTCCTAAATCTAAGAACGTAAATGGGACTTAGATTAAATATAAATATAATGAATTCGATATACGATATAAGATTAGATTGGAGGGACCATGTTTGGAATTAGAATATATAGGTTGGGTCCAAATAAAACATAGGACTTAACTTACATAGATGGAATAGAATTTGGTCTAAAGGTGATCAACTATAGTCCGGTTAGAAAAAGGACGGGTTTAGACAAGTTAAAAAAGTGCATTTTAAATTAAAAACTCAAACTCGACCTAAAAGCCTGCTTTGACCCGACAAACCCAATATCTTTTAATTAGTGAACACTAGGCCCTAGGGTAGGTAGGACACCCTACACTCCCTCTAAACGCATCATTTAGAGTACTACCCACATCCTCCACTAAATTTCATTTTATCTCTCCTCACCCTTTTTTTTTACATTTTCTCTATCCACACCCATTTCTCTGCAAGTTTCTCTCTTACCAAAAGCTTTAATTGTAAAATTATTTTTTAATTATTAAAAAAAAAAAACTTCAAGCACTATGAAATTCAATAAAACAAGGCGCAAAATCTGAAAAAGTAAGTTATTTTGTTTAAATTTGGAATGAAATAGAGTATAAACCATAGGTTTTACTATTTTTTTTGTTGCGATGTATTTCGAAAATGTAATCGAAACATCAACCATGAAAATTGTATATCAATGTAAGTATTATACTATAATCTTAGTAATTTTTATTGAAAAACTAGTAAATTATATCAGTACATTCTTCAATTTTATTTGCAGAGCAAAGGAAATCGTTTCAGAGAAGAGAAACAAAGATTATAGTTCGTAGTTTTTTTGTTATTATTTCTTTAATTTTTTTTTATTTTTATAAATGTTCATTTTCATTTTGTTAAATGTTCATTTATAGGTTAGTATAACGCCATTCACATTTTAATAAATTATAAATGTTCATTTTCATTATATATAAATGTTAATTTACGTATTGATAAATGTTCATTTTCATTCTCATTCATGATCATTTCATTTTTAACAAGTAAAAGCATTAATTTTAAAATGAACATGTGCATATACTTAAAAGTTCATTTTTATACTACTAATTAAAGCACCCAATTATATCATGAAGTAGTTATTTTTTACAAATTTAATAAGGAATTTCAATAAGAGTGTGTGCTATATTGTAGTTGTCATGGAAATGATTCTTACAATTACAATAAAGAGTGTGTGCTACCTTCAAAATTTTTCAATAACAAGTACAAAAATTATACAAGTAAATTTTATACATTTTTCATCTATAACAATGCTCCTTAATTAAATGTTCAATTATAAATAATTGTAAGTTTATTTACAACTATTAAATAAATATGTTCAGTTTTGAAATATTATATGTTCATTTACAAATATTAATTAAATATGTTCATTTTTGAAATATTATATGTTCAATTATAAATAATTGTATGTTCATTTACAACCATTAGATAAATATTTTCATTATTTTGGAAATATTATATGTTCAATTCACTACAAGAAAAATGTCTTTTCGTAGCGATTATACATTCGCTACAATATGCAAGTATGATTGTGAAATAATTAAGGAAGTCGTATCATTTTACAATCGCCATGGTTTTCCCATATAAAATCAATACGGAAAAAATAATAATACATATCCACACTATTTTTACACATTTATATAATTTTGAGAAATCGTATCATTTACAATCGCCACTAAATCCTAAAAATCGATACGAAAAGCTTATTCAACACTAGATATAGAAATATTGTTTGACAAAGAATACATAAAATATGTCATAACTTATTGGTGAAACATTTAATATAAGAGTTTGAGGTTGCATGTTCGAATCTTGTAAAGATTATACGCATGTTTTTTTTTTTAAGAAAATGAGTTAAACATTTATAGCGATTGTAATCGCTACAATAATCACCACGATAGGATGTAGTTTTTCGTATCGATTATTGAGGCCAACCCCAGCGATATTGAAAATCACTACTAAAGGCTAAGGCAACGGGGGATATTGTATCAATGACCATTCATTGGAAAAGCTTTTTGTTGCAATTACAATCGATATTAAAGGTTAAAATAATCGCTACGAAAAGTTTATTTTCTTGTAGTGATTATACATAATGTGTACGTTCATGTACAACTATTAAATAAATATGTTCATTTCTATTCAAAAAAAAAAGTTCATTTTTAAAATATTATGTTCAATTATAAAATTATACGAGTATACTGTTTATAAAAAAATTTATAAATTATACACTTCTCATTAAAATCAAAAGCAAGCTTTATCAATGGTGATTTGAGCTTCTTTATGTTTTCCCTACTTCTTAATCCTTTGCACTTTCCCCATCTAGCCCACTCAACTAATTAAGCCACAATAACCACTATTGCCTCATTGCCTGGCCCCATGACCACTGTTGTCTCACTGCCGCCGCTACCACCGCTGCCACAATAACCACCATCATCTTGCCACCACCGATGCCATAACAACCTATGATGCACAGACACGCCTGCCAAGTGGCGTGTCCGAGTCGACACGCGTGTCGGACACGGACACGCGTGGGACACGGGGGGATACGTCTTGGACACGCGAAAATCCGTGTCCGTTTTTTTTTTTTTAATTTCTTCTGTACGGACACGGGCCGTGTCTCACCCAGACACGGTCCGTTTTGTGATGGACACGCAATTACGGCTTTACAAGCCCAACTTCCTCCATTCTCTCTGACTCTCTCACATTCTCAATTCCTCCATTCACAATTCACAAACCTACTGCCTTACTCAAGCTCCCTGAGTCCCAGACCGTCAGCCACTCACCGTCGCGCCGATAACCGCCGTCGCTTCACCTGCTGCTGCTGGTCCAGACCGTCACTCAGTTCACCGTCGCTTCGTCGCCTACAGCCTACTCTCACAGAGACACAGACTTCACTCGCCGCTCGTTGTTCGTCCTCAGCCACCACCCCAGTGTCGCCAGCCACCAGTCCACCAGACCACCACCAGGTAACTCGCTCAACCTAGGTTTCAAGCCGTGGCTTGACTGGCTTCTGTACTTTGTTTTTTTTTTAAATTCAATTAATTCAGTCGCTAACTCGCTCAACCTAGGTTTCAGGCTGTCGTTGTTCGTCCTCAGCCACCAGTCCACCACCCAGTACCGTCCGTCGCCACTCGCCAGCCACCAGTCCACCACCAGGTAAGGGTTATGTGACTTCTGTCTTCTGTACTTTGTTTTCTGAAATTCAATTGCTGAATGCTGATGTTAATTGTGAGGTGGAGCCGTGGAGGCAGTATCACTGTAATTCGCAATTGTTAATTGTTAAATGTGATGTTAATTGTTAATTGTGATGTTAATTGTGAGATGGGTTCAGCTGTCAAATTGTATTGTGCCCTGGTTGCTGAAATTGTATTGTATTGTTGACTCGCTGACTTGCTGGTTGCTGAAATTGTATTGCTGAGTTGCTGACTTGCTGGTTGCTGAAATTGTATTGCTGACTTGCTGGTTGCTGAAATTGTATTGTTGTGTTGCTCACTTTGCTGTGTTGTCTTGCTGAAATGTGCTGTTGTGTTGCTGAAATTGTCAGGAATGTCTTCTAGTTCCTCTGCTTCATGCAATGTCAGTGGTAGTAGTAATTCATCTGAGTCAATGAAAGACCTCTACCCTTTGTGGAAGTTTGTTGTTAAGGGTGATAAAATATCGGGTGGTGGAGGAAATTATAATTGGAAATGTAACTTTTGCGGCGAAGTTAAAAATGGTTCATACACTAGAGTGAAAGCTCATTTGCTAGGTGAACAAGGGAAAGGGATTCAAACTTGTAATAAAGTGAAAATTGATGACCTTGCTAAACTAAGATCGCTTCATCGTGAATCCGAGGATTATAAAAAATCTTTGTTACCAAAAGTTCCACCTTTTTCAAATGAACCCATATCTTCTCACACATCAACTGAAGCTACATCAATGAGACTAGGTTCATTTGATAATGTAAAGAAGAGGAAATCAAAAAATACAATTTCCGATGCTTTTAATGTGAAATCTCGTGACCACTTGGATTCTGAAATTGCTAGAATGTTTTACACAGGGGGTTGCCTTTTAATCTTGCTAGAAACCCTTACTATGTTAGTTCATATACAATGGCTGCCAATTCTAATCTCTCTGGTTATAAGCCTCCCGGATACAACAAACTTAGAACAACTTTGCTTTGTAAAGAGACAGAAAATGTGGATAGGTTATTACAACCTATGAAAGCCACATGGAAAACAAAAGGTGTTAGCATTGTTAGTGATGGGTGGAGTGATCCACAAAGAAGGCCTTTGATTAACATTATGATTGCTTCTGAAACGGGTCCTATGTTTATGAAAGCTATTGATTGCTCGGGTGAGATTAAGGACAAAGATTTCATTGCTACCTTACTAAGTGAGGTGATTGATGAAATTGGAGATCAAAATATTGTTCAAATAATCACAGATAATGCAAGTAATTGTAAGGCTGCAGGGGAATTGGTTGAGGGTAGGTATCCTCATATATATTGGACACCATGTGTTGTTCATACACTTAATCTTGCAATGAAAAACATCTGTGCAGCTAAGAATGTGTTGAATAATGTTGAAGTATATGATGAATGTCATTGGATAACGGAAGTTCATGCAGATGCCTTGTTCATTAAAAATTACATAATGAATCATTCGATGAGGCTTTCAATGTTCAATAAGTTTTCGCCATTAAAACTACTTTTCATTGCCGACACTCGTTTTGCTTCAATTGTGTGCAGGCTTAAAAGGTTGAAACTCCTTAAAACATCACTTCAATCAATGGTTATTAGTGAGAATTGGTCCTTATACAAGGATGATCGACGCGGGCAAGCCTCACATGTAAGGGAAAAGATTTTGGATGAAATATGGTGGGAAAAAGGTTGATTACATTCTTGATTTTACACGCCCAATCTATGAGATGATTAGGGTTTGTGACACCGACAAATCTTCCTTGCATTTGGTTTATGAAAGATGGGACATTATGGTTCAAAAGGTGAAAGATGCCATCTACAAGAAAGAGGGTAAACTAGATTATGAACAATCTACCTTCTTTAATGTAGTTAAAGGGATTCTTAGTAGTCGTTGGAGTAAGGGTAGTACTCCACTTCATTCATTAGCACATTCTTTGAATCCAAGGTAAGTTTTACTTATTTAATTCATCTTTATTTATTTTTCCTTGTTTTTTATTTAATTTCTTATGGCTATTCTTATTTTGTTGTTAAAGATTTTACACGGAAGAATGGCTTAATGAGGTCCCGGGACGAGTTGCTCCAAATGCCGACAATGAAATTTCCACACAAAGATTACAATGCTTTCGAAGGCTTTTCCAAAGTCCCGATGAAAGATTCAAGATCAACACGGAATTTGCAATATTCTCACAAAAATCAGAGGGGATCTTTCTCAACATTGATTGCATGCATGATATGGCTTTGATGGATGCTAAAAATTGGTGGGCAACTTATGGTTCCCAAGTGCCTATGCTTCAAGGTTTGGCTTATAAGCTATTAGGTCAACCTTCTTCCTCTTCTTGTAGTGAAAGGAATTGGAGCACCTATAAGTTTATTCATTCTTGCACTAGAAATAAGCTTACTCCTAAACGTGCTCAAGACTTGGTATACATTCATAACAACCTTCGATTACTTTCTAGGAGAAGTGAAGAATACACTAAGGGGAGATCTAAGTTGTGGGATGTGGGTGGAGATGAGCATGACAACCTAGGAGAGGTTGGTATTCTAGAGATGGCCGAGCTCTCACTTGATGAACCCGAGATGGAGAATATGATTTTTGATGATGTACTTGGTGATGGTGAAGAATGAAACTATTAGTACTTTTGTTTATTTTATTTATGATTTGTAAAACTATTATTAAGACATGTATTTGGTTTGATGGTTTCTTGATATGTCTGAGACTACGTTCGTACACTTTGTTTATTTACTTGTTTTAACAAAATTGTGTGTTTTGAGGCTAATTATTTAGTGTTTTATTGAATAGGTTGTCAAATTCTCGTTTTTTTGATATATTATATGCCTTGTTATATGCCGTACCCGTGTCCCCTATTTCAGGATTGCCGTTTTCCCGTGTCCGTATCGTGTCCGTGTCCGTGTCGGTATCCGTGCAACATAGATAACAACTGCAATTTGTTTGTAAGTGCTTTGATTAGGCTTGCAATTTGCTTATTGAGTTGATTGCTTGTGAGTTAGGATCATTAATTCATTTTTTAGTTTTTACAACGTTCGACTTGCATGTGTTAAGCATATAGCTAGTGTTCCTTCTAAGCCAGGATCAAACTCTTTGAAACAAAGGATCATCAATTGCTTTATTATAATTGATACCATGAAAATCTCTTCACACTCTTTTATTTTATACGAGTACAATAATTTTTACATGGAATTGAAACTCAAAACATTGAATTAACTTACAATGGTATATAACAAAAAAGAAAAAAAAAAAGTAAACACAAAAAAGAACTAAATGACGTCACTTGGGGTGGGGGGGGGGGTGTAGGTAGCACAAGCTACACCAGGGTGTAGTGTAAAATTTTATACTACCTCCGTTAACTATTATTTGTAACAAAGAAATATTTTATATCTCACAAATAATACCCTTTGATGCAAATAATAGTTAACGGATGTAGTATCTTTTTATGGATTTAGGCAAGAGATATGATATTAAATCCCAACCCGATTTAGTTAATGGGCTTATACTTAATTTCGAATTTATGGGCTTCTTACTGAGATTTTGACTTGAGAAGACTAAACATTAGGTTAGACACTATATATGGTTAGCCGGGAGGTTAGACAATACGGGGTACATAGTTTGACTCGATACATGACTGATTAGAATTAGGCGGTGAGCCGGTGAGCTTGCCAAAAAAAAAAAAAAGAATTAGGCGGTGAGAATTGCTTAGATTGACATATGGAGTCTAACTTGGATTGAATGGAAAGACAAGATGACTAGTTAAAGCTTAGAGATCACGAGCTAGGTCAGCCTATACTTTGGCCAAATTTGGCCCAAGGCTTCCATCTGGGCCTAACTACAGGCCAACAATTGGGAAAATTATAATATGCACCATGGTGCACCTTAAACTCCACCAATAGATTAACGCCACATATTAATTTGCTAGCTGCAGTGTTCATCTTTCAAATTCTCAGTTTTCTTCCTCTACTATTTCGAATGTCCTTCCCCTTTTCAATTATTTCCTAATTTCTCAATTCCTTCTCTTCAATTCTCTTCTTTTTTTTTTTAATTCTTTTCTCATTTTTAATCATCATACACAATATCTCTCTCCACGATTTTCTCTCTCCTCAATTTTTCTCCATTGTTGATTCCTCTGTTTTTTTATTGAATTTGTTCATCACTGCTATTCATCGCGATGGATTTAATTTATGTACTTGAGGTTCTTGACACTACAGGTTAGATTTCTTATTGTACTTGATAATTATCGCTAATTAGGTATTTTTGTTGTTGATGTTAGTTATTGATTTTTCATTTTGCTGTTGATTCTAATACTTTTTTTGAGTGATTGTTGATTTGAAGTGATTGTATAATTTTTAGGTTTAATTAGTTTTAATTTTATATAATTCAATTGATTAATTGATGAATTGATCAAACAATTGATTAATTTTAATTAAGCTGCTGAAATTTGCGATGAGATTTTGATTTCTCATTGTTTTTTATTAATTTGTGATGAATTTGATCATTTGTTGATTAAACTATTAAACAATTCCGTTAGAATTTGTTTAATATGATTTTGAACATTCGCTTCATATTATCACTTAATGCAGAACTTATGTGATTAATTATTTGTTGTTTATTAATTATTGATTAATTTGAGATTTAATGTTAATTAAGCTGCTGAAAGTGTGTTGAATTTCATTTTTTATTTTAATTGCTTTTTTTTTTTGGATGATTTTCAGTTTCATTTATAATTTAATTGTTGAATTGATGCTTTAATATGTATTATATGAATATAATTTGTTTATATCATGTTTTTGAACATTTTGTTCATATAATTCGAGTGATGCACTTTTCATTTTATTTATTATCAAAATTGTTATTAGCAGTATCATATTATGAACACTGTTTCTAATTTTTATGAACATTTAGGTTACTTTAATGAACCTTTCTGATTTACATAATTCTCTAAGCATATATAATATATGCTTTTAAAAAAATAATTCTAAACGTAATTATGAACATTTTCCTGTATTTGAACTTTGTTGTTTTATTTTTGAACTTCAGTAATGGTTATTATGAACTGTGTTTGTTTATTGCAGGTATAAGGTATGAAGTCATTTATAAAGATAGTCTGAAGATTGAGCAGCATTTTGAGCAGCGTCTTTAGGTGCGGAAGTTTTTGAAGGGTACCGGTATTTAGTGGTTTGTGGTTAAGGTTCAGAAGTTTTTGTAGGTGGTTCAAAGGTTTTTGTAAGGTGTTCAGTGGTTTGTGGTTGGGGTTTAGAAGTTTTTGTAGGGGTTCAGAGGTTTCTGTAGGGTGTTTAATGGTTTGTGATTAGGGTTCAAAATTTTTTGTTGGGGGTTCAGTGGTTTGTGGTTGAGGTTCAAAAGTTTTTGTAGGGTGTTTAGTGGTTTAGGGTTGGGGTTCAAAACTTTTTGTAGGATTTAGAAGTTTTTGTAGGGTGTTCAGTGGTTTGTGGTTGGGGTTCAGAAGTTTTTGTAGGGGGTTCAAAGGTTTTTGTAGGGTGTGTTAGTGGTTCGTGGTTGGGGTTCAATGGTGTTTGTAGGGTGTTTAGTGGTTTGTGGTTGGGGTTCAAAAGTTTTTGTAGGGGGTTCAGAGGTTTTGGTAGGGTGCTCAGTTGTTTGTGGTTGGGGTTCAGAGGTTTTTTAAGGTGGTTATAATGTTTTTGAAGGGTGTTCAATGGTTTGTAATTGTGGTTCAAAAGTTTTTGTAGGGGATTCAGAGGTTTTTGAGGTTGGTTCAGTGTTTCTGGTAGCTTATCATAAAATTCTAGGGGCTTATCAGAAGTTTATGGGGGCTTTTGTGTTGCTTTTGGTATCTTATCAGAAGTTTCTAGGGGATGTTCAGAAATTTCTTGAAGGTGTTCAGTATTTGGTCTATAATTAAATATTAAACACAAAAAAAGGAAATACATAATATGAAACCTTTCTTCAAGCATGCCCCACTGTTTGGACTTGCCTTCAAGCCAAGCAAGTCTTTCCTCAAAGGTGTATTCATGCATCTTTCCTTCTTCCGCCATCTCTACGGCAAACCTGGCTCTGATACCAAACTCGAGGATATTGTGATAAAACAAGCCGAACAAATAGAGAGGCTTGCTGCAACTGTGGATGGGTTAACGGAGCAACTTAACTTCGTGCAAGGCGTCGCTGATGAAGCACAAGATAAATGTGCAACCTTAACGCGTGCCCAGAGAGGGCTCGGGGGAAGTGGAGGTGACAAGATAAAACCTCCCAAGCCCCGGACCTTCAATGGCACGAAAGATTCAAAAGAAGTCGATAATTTCATTTTCGACATGGAGCAATACTTTCGGGTCTGTCAGTTGGAGAATGAGTTAAAAGTTGATACCACCACTATGTATTTGGTGGATGATGCAAAGCTTTGGTGGCGCACCAAGTACGCCGACATCCAAGCTAAGAGGACGGCGGTGGATACTTGGGAGAATCTGAAGAAAGAGCTGATGGCCCAATTTTATCCCGAGAATACCGAGTTTGTTGCTCGCACCAAGCTCGCTGCTTTGCAGCATAAGGGTTCCATCCGGGAGTATGTCAAAGAGTTTTCAGCGTGCATGTTGGAGATCCACAATATGTCCGAGGAAGATCGCCTATTCAACTTTGTGCGTGGTCTTAAGGAATGGGCCCAAAGAGAAATTTGGCGCCAAAAGATTGATACTTTATCGGGAGCCATCGCTGCAACTGAAAGGTTGATGGACTACTCCTCAGAGAAAGGGCAAAGTTTGAAGAAAGGAATAGTGGGCCGACACCGAACCCTCCTAGGAACTCAGGACATGGCTCGCAAGTGAGCTCCAACAACTCGAACAATAGATACAATAGGAGTGGGGGAGAAGACTCTCGGAAGAGTGGAGCTTCTTCCTTCTCTAGTAGAGGAAGCACCCCTAGTTCATCTTCGGCAGCCAGGCCATTGACGTGTATCCTTTGCCGAGGACCGCACAAGTGGTTTGAATGTCGACACAAGGGAGAAATTGACAATCTCCAAAAGAAACTGTCCTCCATGTCCTTAGAAAACCCCGAGGGGGAAGAAGCCGATGAGGTAGAACTTAGTGAAGGAGAACATTCCAGACTAGGGGCCATTCGCATGATGTGCGCTATGGGAAGAGAAGGCTCTGAGGGACAACCCAAAAACTCTGGGTTGATGTTTGTGAATGCGTTGGTAAACGGAAAGGAAACTCGTGCCATGGTGGATACAGGTGCTACCCACAACTTCATTTCAGAAAAGGAGGCAAAAAGACTTGGGTTGAAGCTCCTACCAGAAGGAGGCAGTATGAAAGCGGTGAATTCAGTTGCCAAACCGATCCACGGCGTTGCCAAGAAAGTAACAATGAAGCAAGTGGAGACTTTCCGCCTGCAGTTGCCGAGCTACTATCAGAGTTTCAGGATCTCCTCCCGAAAGATCTACCAAAAGTTCTCCCACCTAGAAGGACTGTGGACCATGAGATTGAGCTGGTTCCAGGGGCGAAACCCCCAGCACGAAGCCCTTATCGCATGGCTCCCCCAGAATTGGGTAATTCATACCAATATACTTGATAAAATTTATACACAAATTATTAGTTCATACAACACATATATATGAACTAAAAAGACAACGTATATGAACATCAAGCATGAAATGTATGAACTCAAAAATGAAGGTAAGGGATATGGAACGATTAGTATCAAATTTTCTAATTTTATTGCACAATCACCGAAATTGGTCAAAAAGCTCCAAAAAAAAAAAAAAAACCTCCAATATTTTTTTTAACAAAATATAAGAAACTTTATATTAAAGTGGATAGAGAAAGTTGAGTTTTCCCCATTGTTAAAAATTTTAGAGCTTCTAGTAATTTAGAGGGAAATAAAAAATAATCTTAAAAAAAAAAAGGAGAGAGAAAAATTGAAAAGGGTTGTTGAAAATTTAAATTTAGGTTTTCAAAGAATTTAGAGGTAGAAAAAAAAGAGAATATCAAAATTTAATGGTCAAAACCAAAAAAAAAAAAAAAAATGACTGGGCCTTTAGACTGTTGGGCGCGAATTTGCTGGGCTGGGAGGAGAATTGGGCCTGGTGCACCTATTTTTAGGTGCACCATGGTGCATGTAATACCAATTGCAACAATTGTACCCAAATCCACTATTTTGGGCCAAAAATAGCAGGTTCTTAAGGCAAAGTACTTGTATAAAAAGTTGTATGAGACAACGAATCGAAAATGTGCCGAATTATTATATTTATGTATTTGGATTCTTAGCCCATCCCCAATTAATTCTTGTTTGATTTTTTAAAAATTCGTTTTCATTATCGTTCATTGTCAATTGTAGATGTCGTATGACTTTTTTATCAATGAAAGTTAGTGTCCTTTAGAACTTCTTTCAAAATTAAATTAAAATAAAATAAAATTAGATTGTCCAAAACCTAAAAAAAGGGCTAAGCCTAAAATTTGGGGCCAAAACATCTGCCCAAACCAAATATTTTTCAGGTTGGGCTTGTTTTGATCAAGTCTAGGACTAATTCTGACCTCTAAAGTCCAAACTACAGTACAATACGAGTAGATAAGATATGAATTCAATACATCTTACAAAATCAGTAATAGGGCATGTTCTCATTGACTGAACTGAATATTTTATGAGAATAGGAAATTAGGAGCTGAACTGAATTAAACTGAATATTTTATGAGAGAAGGAAACTAGGAGCTAAACTAAACAGAACTTAACTTATTAGAGCTGAACTGAACTGAATTGAACTAAAAATAATCTAATGAAAACAGGGCCTAAGTTTTAAGTTATTATCTAATCATGATACATGTAACTAGTCTCAAATGTAAAATCTCTCATTATTACAATGGCACAGGACATTTTCTAGGCCAAAAACTAGTTACAATATATATATGGCGTTACATATTCTACTTCTATTTTACCACAAATGATCTCCACTTAGTACATACACATAAACTGTATAAAACATCCACTGATCTCACACGCCCCCAACACTACTGCACATGCATACTAGTACTATTAAAAGGTAAAAACATGCTCTTAAATTAGTTAAAACTTAAACCAAGTATTATACTATTATCCATATAATACCAGCTAAAATCCAGCAATTTATGAATAGTTAACCATGATTAGGGGGAGTCACAAAGCTACCTCCTCCACCACTCCCTCCATGAGCACCCTCAGCTCCATACCCGTACCCGCCGACACCACCACTGCTTCCAGACCCATACCCGTACCCTGACCCAGAGCCCGACCCAGACCCGGACCCATACCCAAACCCGTAACCCCGTCCGAAACTGGTAGGCGAATGGCTTGAACCATACCCATATCCCCACCCGCTTCTAGGCCCGGCCCCCCAACCCCATCCATAATCCCAATTTGGGCCGTGGGCTGAGCCCGTGGCGCCCGTTGGTGTATCCTCATTGCCATGGTTGTTAACTTCTGCTAAGGGTGATGAAACTGTGCCCGGTGTTGTTGTCGTCGCCGTCCCCTCCATTCTCCGATCTCGGCTTTCGCCGAAGCTGTTATAGCGAGCTAGACATGTTGTAGCAAGCATGAAGAAGAGCACGTGTAAGATGGCAATTTTGGTTTTATAATGATACATTTTGAATGATTGTTTGTGTAGGATAGATGTTTTTTGTAAGTTAATACTTATTGGAAAGCTAATGTGAAGCTACATATATATAGTAGGAAGAAGTGGGAAGGAGGTGACATTGTGATAAAGAAGAAAGTGACCCCTTTTTTAGGTGTTGTTTAAGCTTGTGGTATGTGAGTTGGTTAAAACTTTCATATGCACTATTTTGGTTAATGCACTTGCATGGATGATGGGACTCTCTCTATGTATTTACCATCACATTTTTTTTTTAATTAACACACTTTATCATACTGTCTTCATTTAATTGACACACTAAATAATTAATTCTTTCTCATTTTTTTTCCACCACACTTTTGATTAACTATTTATACTCATTATTTGTATACTATGGATTCCCGTTTTTTATTATTTACAATAAAGAAATATTTTAATATCTCACAAATAATATCAAAAAAATAGAGATTGTAATAAAATAAAGAATCGGTCAAATATATATGGGGTATAAAACTTTTTATCAATCAAAGTGTGTTAACTAAATAAATACGGACAAAAGGTTTTATATTTATTTATTATTTTTATTTTTGGGTTTTTCTACATTATAACCCTCTAACTTTTCGTTTTCTAAGATGTGCCCCTCCTTTTTAAGAAATCCACATTGTAACCCCAAAATACGTTTAGTTTCACCGTTACCTTGCCGTTAACAAAGTCCGTTAGCGGGGCCCACTCACCACTTAATAATATTTTAATAATCGATTTGCGTGTTGAAAATGGTTCTTTTAAAGCTTTTTGGGGGACATTTTAGTCTTTAAATGTCCAAATTAAGCTCAGATTTAGCAAAATAATTATATAAATTCCTCGTTTTGCGTATTAAAAAATGTCTCGATTTGCATGTTTACGTATTTAATACATAAAACGATACACTTGCGTCTTCTTTTTGCCAAATCTGAGCTCAATTTGGTTCCATAAGGCCCAAAATAACCCCAAAACCTTTAATGGAACAATTTTTAACACGCAAATCGATAAAAAAATAATTATTAAGTGGAGAGTGGACCACAATAACGAAATTTGTTAACGACAGGATAACGACAAGATTACTGTATAGAAACTAAATGTGTTTTGGGGTTACAATGTGAATTTCTCAAAAAGGAGGGCACATTGTAGAAAACGGAAAGTTAGAGGGTTATAATGTAGAAAAACCTTTTTTATTTTATGTGATTACAAAAATTGATTTAATGTAGGATGATTATATTTGTTGGATATTTGTTGGATATGGGTGGGGAATTGAGGGTCCAAGTGCAACCCGTGATATGCACTATATATTTTTCTACTTTGGTATCAAGATTTAACGTGTCCTTTTGGATGAGGATTGAGAGGCAAAGTAGCCCGTAAGTAATACTACTACTTAACTAGTTATTTGGCTTGTACACATTATGACAATTATGAGCACCACCGCCATACTTAAGATAAAATATCTTTTATACAGATAAGATTTTGTCTCTTATTGAGGTTAACCTAATTATCTCATGTGATTCTTAGCTTCTATCAAACCTTAATTACATCTCATTATATATCACAAAGTGTTAACATAATTTTATATATCTGTCATGCACCATTACCATAATAAAGCACTTTAAATTTTTAATGGACTAGGGTTACTAATGCACTAATATTATGCATTACAATTTACAAATGGTATTGAGACTATTGACCATGTATATGTTCTAATAAAATTAGTAGGGTTACAATGATTACGATTAATCCATCCATCTAAAGCATGGTTAATAAATAAAGTTTTAAGGAGCTTTTCTAATACTAATAATGATCGAGCTGAGTATGCCACACATCTTGTTGTTGTCGTCATCATCATTGTTCTTCAAATATATATTCAGGTTTGATTTGATAATTTTGTATTGGGTTGTATATATACTTGTATAGTATATGGCAATGATATCCTTGTGTCAGCTTAGATCCAGATTAAATTTGATCCATATATTATATATGGTTATATATGTAAAAATTAACTTATAAATTACTTTACTTCATGGTAAAATAAATAAAATTATTATTACTTAAATTGATATTATGGGTTAAGTCAAACAATTTAAATTCTAGTCAAAATAAAAATTTGTGATTTTAGCCATGTTTTTTTTTTTTGCCTTTTTGGAGGGATTTTTGATTGACATAGTAAGGCCAATCTATTGAACATTGAATAGTTATTACAATAATCAATGATGAGTCCATTTTATTTGTTTCTTTATCGTCCCTTTCATTTTGTAGTCCCCCGTCTCCAAAAGTTCGACCCTTTTGGCCTAATTTTAGTTCCAAAATGATCGACCCATTTGTATTAAAATACCCACCAATTTACAATAATATTTGTGCAAAATTAATTTCTCCATATAATTTTTTTTTCATGTATTTTTAATACTTTATCTTTTTTTTTTTTTTTTTTTTTTTTTTACAAATTTCATGTAAATTTATCTTTCCAATATACTTTTACTTTTTTTTTTTATTTAACTTTCTTAATACTTGAGAAATTAACCCAAAGGGATCGTTCTTTTGGGGACGGATGGAATATAATTTTACAAAATCCAATAAAGACTAAGAAAATGCTTTGTATAATTTACAAAGCATTAATTATATCAATCTATATGCGTTTATTTTAAGAAATATATTTAATATTTAAGATTGCATAAAAGAACAACTCTAATGGTCAAATTAGCTTGTCATGCCACATAAGCTTCTTTTAGACTAATTTTTATTTGAGCTACTTTTTACTCCAATGGCCGGCTATTAGAGCATCTCCAATTGTATATAAAAAGGACATGCTTGCTAATTGAATTAAATTGTAAGCATGTAGCTTACCATTAGAGTAACAATATTGATGTAGCTAGATCAAGCGACCCTGCTCAAACAAGTTATTTTGCTTGATTTCAAAGAAAACTTCATCCACTTATATTATGACAACTGTAGGTTAAAAATTACTTTATTTATTTATTTGTTTATCCAACCTACAATAATTTATTGCTCGCCATTGGAGCACTTTGTAGCTTAAAAATATACTAGCTTAATATTTTGATGTATCAAGGTAAGCTAAATACAAGCTGTTTTAGCTTACCATTGGAGATGTTTTTAGCTTACTATTTAGATGAGCCTCCATTCCATGATTAACATTTTTTTATAATCCAAACAGATTAACTTGGAGCTCCAATGGTCAAGCTAGTAGATAGGGATTATTAAAAATTATAAGTAATTCCCTAGCTACAACTATTTGAGCTCTCATTTTTTAATTTGAAATTCAATGATTAAAATTAATTCACACGTGCTAATTGTGGATTATTCCTTTAATTAGGAAATTTTGACAATTATCACCTTATGTTATTTCCATTTTAGCAATTACCACCTTCTTTTTTTTTTTTTTTTAAATTACCACCTTCTATTTTTCAAAAACATCAAAAGTTGCCACCTTCTTGCCCCCAACTACCACGTGACGTCATTTTGGGCAAATTCTTTCCCTTCCCTCCCTATTTCCCTCACATTTCTCATTCCTATGTGGATTCTCATCTCCCCTCTTGCTTTTTTTCCCCCAAACCACCAATAATTATTCGTCAATTTTGATTTGGAGGAGTGAATTGAAGTGTTTTTGATTGTGTGGGGGAAAAAAAGTGAAAGGGGGGATGAGAATCGAGTTAGGAATGAGAAATGTGAGGGAAATAGGGAGGAAAGGGAAAGAATGAGCCCAAAATGACGTCATGTGGTAGTTGGGAGGCAAAAAGATGGTAACTTTTGATGTTTTTGAAAATAGAAGGTGGTAATTTTCAAATAAAAAAATAGAAGGTGGTAATTGCTAAAATGAACATAACAGAAGATGATAATTGTCAAAGTTTTCCTTTAATGATGTAGTACTCATATATAGTCTCCCATCTTTTGTGATGTTTATTATCACTAGGCGAAAAAAGCAATTGCCCACCGGTTCAAAACCCCCTTATGCCATCGGTTTTGAACCGGTGGCTTTTTGGGGGGTGGCAATAATATTTAAAAAGCCACCGGTTCAAAACCGGTGGCAAAAACAAGCCCGGTTGCAATAATGCATCCTGTTTTTATTTTTTTTGGATATTACATATAAATGCCACCGGTTAACCGGTGGCAATAACATACATGATTTGGCAAATAACTCACAATTCACAATCAATATAATAGGAGCGCAATATTTCATTATATTCAACAATAACAGTTACTGTACAATACAAAAAAAAAAAAATTACAATGAATTAAAATCAATAATGTAATTCTAACTTTAAATTATTATGGTACAATACAAAAAAAAAAAAAAAAATTACATCAAAAACATTATCCCAAAATCAAAGTCTTGAATCTTGTTACATCAATTAACACCTGCATCAATTAAAACCCAAAAATTAATAAACTCACAAACAAAAATGCGTAATAAATCCCAGAAAATTCGCCTAACAAAACCCAGAATATTTGCCTAATAAAAATCGCATAAAAAATTACTACGAAAAGGATGAAAACCCAAAAAAAAATCGCTTGTAGATCTGAAAAAACAACAAGAATTCCAGATCCAAAAAAATTAATATGAAAAGGATGAAAACCCCAAAATAAATCAATTAAACCCAAAATTAAAATCGAATTAAACCCAGAAGGAGATCGAATAAAAAACTGAGAAAATTCCAAAATCGATTTAAATCGAATTAAACCCACCCACCACCATAACCACAACCACCATCACAACCCACGAATTCCACCAAAAACAACAAAAAAAAAAGTAAGAAAAAAGAGAAATTACCTCGAATTTCACCAAAAACCCCCGAAATTATGTTGAATTTCGGATAAAGGTCGATTTTGACCAGAAAACCTTTGGCGGCAATAGTAAGTGGCGGCGGCGGCGGTGGTCGAAAGAGGTGAAGAGGAGGGAGGGGGCGAGCAAGATGAGAGGAAGAGGAGAATGAAGGTGGAGCGAAGGGGACTAAAGAAGATCAGAACGAGATAAAATGAGGGACGAGAGAAGATAAGAACGAAGAAGATAATTAAGAAGATCAGAAGACCACTATCAGCAGTGAGGAAAAAAAAAACCTCTCAATCTCTCTCTACCCACTTTCTCACTCCTCCCATACAATTTCTCTCATCAAATATTTTTTTCACTACATCAATGAGGAGAAAAAAAAAAACCTCTCATCACTTTTTCCTCCACTATTTACTATACCCCACCATAATACACATCATCTTTTTATTTTATCTTTATTTTGAAATAATGTTTATACTACATATTTAATTTTCCAATACAATTAAAATATGTGAAAATAATTTATTTTTTAATTAAATTTAAAAATAATTTAATAAAAATGTATAATTTAATAACAATTTATAAGTTTTATATTTACTTTTCAATTACGTTTAAAAATAATATAATAAAAATTTATAATTTTTATATTTATTTTTCAATTACGTTTCAATTATAACTTAATAAGATTGTTATTTATTTGTCAATTACGTTTTAATTATAATTAATAATTTTTTTTTTTATTTTTAAATTACGTTTTATTTATAATTTAACATTTGAATTAGTAGCACATTTTTGTAATGAACACATTAAATAGTCACATGGGAACTTCAATAACGGTAATACAAACACATGGGATGTTAAATAACGGTACAAGTACGAACTAGATAAAAGTGGTTCTACTAAAATAAAATACAAACACGAGTATTAAAACATAAATAACGATACGGTTACAAATAACAAACTAAAAAATTATTTATTCAACCGCATTATGACGAAAGTTCTGCCATATGTGCTCCACTAAATCTTGTTTCAGAGATGAATGAATTTCTCTATCACGAAGGGAAATCCTTCTCTCCAAATACGTGTTGAAATCAATGTTGGGTGGTCGCCCGACGTTGAATTCAAATGGCTCGTTGTTAAACACCGTGGCACTTGTGCTCGGGTCTGCCCGCCTCACCGTATGTTGTGGTCGATCTTCTTCGTAGTATCGTCTCAAAACATCTGCACGTGCGTAGTTGTGTCGTTCATCCTCGACGATCATGTTGTGCATTATTATACAGGCTTTCATAATATCACAGAGAATATCTTCGTCGTATGCAAGTGCTGGTTGTCGTAGTATAGCGAACCTAGCTTGTAAAACTCCGAAAGCCCGTTCGACGTCTTTCCGAACTGCTGCTTGTTGATCAGCAAACAACTTGTCTTTTCTAACATGAGGATGTGTTATACCCTGTATAAAAGTTGGCCATCTCGGGTAAATCCCATCGGCCAAGTAGTAGCCCAACTCATATTGATGTCCATTAACCGTAAAATTTATGGGTGGTGCATGACCTTGTAAAACATCATCAAATACCGGTGAACGGTAAAGGACATTCAAATCGTTACATGACCCAGGCATTCCAAAGAACGCATGCCAAATCCATAGATCCTGATCAGCAACAGCTTCAAGAATGAGAGTTGCACTCTTGCTACGACCAGCATATTGTGCCTTCCAAGCAGTAGGACAATTCTTCCACTCCCAATGCATGCAGTCTATACTACCAATCATCCCTGGAAAACCACGCAGATCATTTTGATGAAGGATTCTCCTTAAATCTTCATCTGTAGGTTTTCGTAGATATTCACTTTCAAATTGTGAAATAACCCCTTGACAGAAATGTTGCAATGCCTGCCTAGAGGTTGTTTGGCCGAGACGTAAATATTCATCCACAGCGTCTGCGGCTACGCCATACGCTAACATTCTTATTGCAGCGGTGCATTTCTGCAACGGTGATAAACCAAGCTTCCCAGCTGCATTTCGACGTTGCTGGAAGAATTGATCCCCCTCAACCACTTTGCTCATAATGCGGCAGAACAATGACCGTTGCATACGGAATCTACGTCGGAATTGGTTGTCGTTATACACTGGATTATTCGCGAAATAATCGTTGTATAGTTGCACATTCCCTTTTTCTCTTTCCCTATCCCTTTTGGGCTCCGTTGATAGTTCAGTTTCATTATTTAGTGGAGGTTCTTGTGGTTGGTCTGGAGGAAGTAATCTATGAGGTAGGTGATTTGCTACATACTCATCAACTAAGCAATCAAATTCATGATTTTTGGAGAAATCATCAGAAGAGGAGCTTGAGGTGGAAGAAATGAAAGACATTTTTATTTTGGTTAGGTAGTTGGTGTGTTTGGGATTGTTTCCGTTTATAATAACACAGGTATATATAGAAAATGTGAAAGTCATTATTGGATGGTAGTGGTAAGTTTGCATGTGAGTTAAAGTGGAATTGAAATTGCATGTGACTCGAGGTGACAATTCAATGCATTATTTTAGCATGTGATTGTGCAGTGTTATTGATGTTTGAGCAGAGGTGACAATTCAGTGCATTACTTTAGCATGTGATTGTGCAGTGTTATTGATGTTTGAGCAGAGGTGACATGTGACGCGTGTCAGATTGTATCTTTATCAGATATCAGCTTTATCAATTTCAAATTACTAAGAAAACATGTGAATTAACTGAATATTAATAATAAATTTAACATTACATAAACATAAATTTAACATAAACTAAATAAACACTAGTACATTAAATTAACTGAATAAAACATAAAGTTAACATTAACTAAATAAAACATAAGCCAAATCTCCAAGTCACACGTGCCTTCTACCATATAGCATTGCACGTAATTCCTCCTTGTAGGCCTCTTCATCGGGAGTTAGATCAGTACCCTTTGAAAGTAGATCTTGCAGCATTTCATAGTTCAGCCTTCTCTCTTGTATGTCAACTTGTTTTTGTTGAATTTCGACTTGTTTTTGTTTCCTCCTCTCCCTTTCCATGTCAAAATCCAACTTCTTCAACTGTATTTGTGCCTCTGTTTCCCTACAGGCATTATTCTGCTTCATTTGCTCACCAATGGTTGAAGAATCAGAAGCCACTTTTTTCCCTTATTACGCTTGGCCTTTGCCTTTTTAACACCATCGGGTCGAGGAAGACCTCCAGAGCAGAAACCCGTGGATGGTGTATCACCTTCCTCTACGGTTCTACATCGCTTATCACTGCCACTACTATCATCTTCGACGGCATCACCTACAGCTAATCTTTCCTCTCTTGACAACGCCCACCTAAGTTTTGTCCTCCACTTTGGGTCATTTTTAACCATTTCCCAACCATGGTGACAATTAAAATTATGTTGAGTAGGCTTGGAGGAAGCATAGAATAACTTACTGGCGTTATTAATTCGATCTGCTTCGTTGTAGCCACTTCCTGTAACCCTTCCTGCTTCGTCATAGCAGCTACTCCATTGTATTAAATCAGCTGCCATCCTTCTCCAACGACTTTCCAAACTCCTCAAAGGTCTTGGTGGTAGAATGTGAGGTTTCTCAGCCTGCGCTTCATCATATGCCGCTGAAATTTTTCTCCAAAGCACAGATGCTTTTTGGTTTGTACCAACAATTGCATCTTCACTGAATTGCAGATACAAACCAATAAGAGTTTCATCCTCCGCAACAGACCACATTCGACTCCCTTTTGTAAGTGGTTGGTTTTGATTGACAGACACTCTTGGAGGAGGTGGAGGGTATTGTGGAGTATCTGGAACACTTTCTTCCATTTCATCTTCATATTGAGAATTGCTCCCTTGATAAACAGGAGGTGAATGTGGTGGTGGAAATTGAGGAGGTGTTTGTTGTGGTGGAAATTGAGGAGGTGTTTGTTGCGGTGGATATTGAGTAGCTATTCGTTGAAGGAAGGTTTGAAATCGAGGGTTAGTGACAAAATCATCACCCAAATCAGAAAAATAATTAGAAAAATCTGGTTTGTTAGGATCCATTAGCAAAATAATAATAATAATAATAATAATGATAATAATAATAATAATAATGATAATAATAATAATAATAATGATAATAATAATAATAATAATAACAATAATAATAATAATAATAATAATAATAATAACAACAACAATAATAATACTACTACTTTTTTTTGACAATATAATAATACGATTTTTTCAAGGATTAATAAATTTAACAGAAATAATAATAAAGAAATTAATAATAATAATAATAATAATAATAATAATAATAATAATTATAAGAATACCAATAAAACTACTACTTTTTTTAAATTAACACTACTACTACTACTACTAGTAATAATAATAATAATTATAATAATAATAAAAATAATAATAATAATAATAATAATAATACTAAATAATAACTGAGGTTTTTTTTTTACGAATAATAATAATAATAAAAATGATGAAAATAACTCAAAGAAATTGGGAAAAGAAGGAAATTTGTAGTATTTATAGGTTTTTTGAAAGTATATCAAAATATATCAAAATGCATGTCTATTTATAGAGAAAAAAAAAATCTATCCGTTGGTGAATTTTGTTTTTTTTTTAATAATTACAACGGTTATATTTACCTTACAAAAATATAACCGTTGTAATAAAAGCAAAAAAATCTGATTGGTTGGAAGGATAAAGCCTGACGCGTGTCGCATCCCCATTGGCTGGGTCTGACGCGCGTCAGGCCAGCTGCCCCCTCTTTTTTTTTTCCCTTTTTGCCCCTCAAAACGGCGTCGTTTCGCCCTTCTTTAAGGCAAAACGACGTCGTTTTGCAAGCCAGAAGGGAAAAAAAAGGGAAAGACGCGTGTACGAGTGGGGCCCACTTGTTACTGTTCACGAGTATTTCCCCTCAACTCTTGTGCGTTTTCCATAGCTCTCAACGGTGAGGGTTTTTTCCCTCACTAACGTAATGCTCGGGTATTTTTTTTACACCCTTATTTTTACTCGTGAGGGCTTTTCTCCTCACTGCTGGGAGTGCTCGAAGGAAGATATAATGAGGGAGGAGAGAATGAAGATCAGTAAGAATGAGGAGGAGGGAGGAGAGAGAAGATGAAGAGGCCAGGGTTTGGTAAAGGGGGTTATATATACGGAGTAGGAAGGAACAAAAGGGGTGAGCTAAATAAAAAAGGCCGGTTTTTTTTTAACAAAGCCACCGGTTCAAAACCGGTGGCATAAATAATTGCCCCACCAGTTCAGTTTGAACCGGTGGCAATACTTTTCCCTCAAAATCCCGCCCGTTTTTCCCTCTTTTTTCCCACCGGTTTTTAAAAATCGGTGGCCTTAGGGCGGTGCCAATCTTCTTTTTTCACCTAGTTTATAAAGTAATTATTAGAGGTTTTAACTATATCATCTCTAATATGTTCACGACTTTTCGTGATCTATCATATCACATATTCGCATGGATTTCTCAAAACACTTGTAGTGCGATTAGCAACAGTTTTAACCTTGAAAAAAAAAGGTGAAAATAAGGATTTTTAATCATGACAAGTCATGCTTGAGTATGAGTCTAATCTAATGTAATCTAATCATGCATATTTTAGTTGACAAAATTCTACAGTGTTTTTAAATTTTGATCACAAAGTTTCATTAATCTACAAGTAATTATATAATAATGTGGAATAGATTTCGTTGGAATCGTCTCATTATATATATATTTTTTAATAATATTAGGTTTTTATAATTTTTATGTGTATAGAAATTAAGATAAATATGTTTTAAGACGCGCCTTAGAAATCATAAGAAATCAAATAAAGCAAAAAAAGTTAGAGATCGATTGAGTAATCCGTAATTAATTTGATGCCAAATGATTAGATGAATAATATTATTGATAGAGAATACCCATAGAATATTCTCATCCTAGGTTTAGGATATATTTTGTATAAGATTATCTTTGATATCTATACATATCTTATAGTTACCTAATATGATTAGGTTTCTCATTGTAACCCTATAAATATTGATCAATGGAAATCACTCTAAGCGAGGAGTTTCATAAAATCTAACATGGTATCACAGCTTTAGGTTAGATCTTGGGATTATATACAAAAATTCTCACCCTGCCGGTGGGTTAGAAAATTAAACCCACCGGCGGGATATACAAAGTTTTTTATGCTTCCGCAAACACACATATAGGTTTTTTTTTTTCTTTTCTCAAAGTTTTTTTTAGAATCTTTATGTAACCTTGCGTCTCCCACCAACAGTAGCAATCGCGAAAGCCTCCTCCATCATTGTTGGCAATCGCATACACTACCGCCTCCCACTACTGGCAGTAACCACATCTGCCAACCTACTCCATATGCCGCACTCTATTTCCACCTCCCCATGACCAACAATGATTCTTACATTGCCTCATTGGTTTTTTTTAACACATAATCACATAGATTTTGTTTGGGTGGTGGTATATCACAATAAGGTCAACTTTTGCACATCTCTTTTGCTATCAAGTTAGCTCCTTTTATTGTTGCAGCACTTGGAATCTTTGTGGAGTATTACTTCTTGCTACCTGGTTTCTCTTCTGAGAATTGATTAATTTCAAGCGGTGGGATTTAATCTTTTCTTGCGCAATTTTATTTATTTTTCTTCAACTGTGATTTCACGTAGTAGTGTAGTCCGATGATGGTTTGATCCCTTAGCTTCTTCTTCTCTGGATCTGCAACTTAGCCCAAGTCTGTGTGCGGCTCTTCTCCTTCTCCTCCGGCTTAGCAGTGCTTATATCTACTCTATGTAGGTCGTGGCTGTTGCTTCTCTCGTCATCACCGACACATTTCTACTACTTTCTCTTTTGATCATGGGTTACTATACTATCCTTACTGTTCGATGCCTGATTCAGATCCAGTCTGAGCATCCGATTTTCTCCCGCTCTGACTGCGGGGGTGTGATAGAGAATACCCATAGAATATTCTTATCCTAGGTTTAGGATATATTTTGTATAAGATTATCTTTAATATCTGTACACATCTGATAAAGAATACCCATAGAATATTCTCATCCTGGGTTTAGGATATATTTTGTATAAGATTATCTTTGATATCTGTACATATCTTATAGTTACCTAATATGATTAGGTTTCTCATTGTAACCCTATAAATATTGATCAATGGAAATCACTCTAAGCGAGGAGTTTCATAAAATCTAACATGGTATCACAGCTTAGGACATCTTGGGACAACCCCAAATAAAGTTTGAACCGAAGTAATTTGATTGAGAGCTTTGGTAGGAAGAATGTTTAGGAGATAGGTGGTCGTTTCCAAGGCATGATGCCAAAACGACAGAGGAAGAGAAGCATGAAATAAGAGAGTACGCTTAACGTTGTTAAGGGTTCGAATCATACGCTCGGCTTTGCCATTTTGAGAGGATGTGTGTGGACAAGAAAAGCGAAAAACCAATCCATTTTTGACACAAAATAGTTTGAACGGGTCATTATCAAACTCACGACCATGTTAGATTTTATGAAACTCCTCGCTTAGAGTGATTTCCGTTGATCAATATTTATAGGGTTACAATGAGAAACCTAATCATATTAGGTAACTATAAGATATGTACAGATATCAAAGATAATCTTATACAAAATATATTCTAAACCTAGGATGAGAATATTCTATGGGTATTCTCTATCAATTATTAATGCGGTTGTAAAAAAAAAAAATATTATTAATGCCTATAATATGGAAAAATATATAATACGAATTAATAATAATACGAAGTACAAACGTAGTATAATAAATTGAACTGATGTCGGCATAGATGTGATAGATCTAAGTACGTAGTATTGTACTTAAAACTAAAAGTTGATTAATTTATTCCTCTTTTTTAATTCTTTGTTTATCACAATAAGGTTATTAGCTTTTGCATTTTTTATCTCAAAATTTGTTATTTAGCATTATAAGAAGTATTTTCTTGTATTATTTTTGTATATAATTAAATAAATAAACACTTTCTATGTGCTCTAAAAAAAATATTTGCAACACACCCTTATGACATATACTTTGAAGACAAGATTAGATAATGTAAATAAAATAATTAATAAAAATAATTTATACACATTGTACATCATCCTTATCATTAGTTGTACACTGGTACATAATCAAAATAATATCCAACTCTAATTGCCTCCTAAAAATGTGTGACTTGAGGTTGTATGATTTGTATCATTGCAGGTACGTCGAAGAAAACAAAGGAAATATGAGTTTTTTTAAAATGGGTAATGATATATACAATTTGTATATAAGCATTAAGGCAGAAGTAGATAAGAAAGCTAATATGAAAATACTAAAGTAAAATTAATATTAAGTCATTAATTACATCAATTAACGCGTGATTTTTTTTTCATACATTCCGAACTTAATTTTATTTAAAGTTATATATTTTGTATCAAAAAAAAAAGAAGTTATATATTAAATTTCACGCATCGGGATGCTTGTTAGCGAGAGCTGATACACATACAATCATTGTATGCTGTCCCTACATACAACACCACTAGAAATTTGACACATCATCAAAAAGTGGAGAAAAATTAGGAGTCAAATATAAATTGAATTCAAATGGAACATGGCCCCATTATTATAGCTAATAAAAACATGACAAAGTAATGTTGTTTGTGGGGACCACATACAACAATTGTATGTGTAGCCTTAAACATTAAATTCATCGTGCATTAAGTAGATATTAAATAATGTGTACAATATTTAAAAAGATCTTGTTTTCTTGAAAGATTTATCACTATCGTGATAAAAATAATAGAACCAATGGGTGAAAACGATGTACAAAATAAAGATTTAGAACTTTCATTACAAATCCAAAATATCACATAATCAAATCTACGTTGATCTAGAAAATTCTTTGTTGCTAAAAAGGGGAAATGCTTTGCCTTAGCTTGTTGCATGCATTATGTATGTTTACATTGATGATGACAATACTTTAATTAAATAGCTTGAGTGCTTATGCAATACCAAATTAAAGCTAGGCTACATTTA